TTCGCAGGATTTTGACCGTTTCACTCCGTTCTTTCGCCATTTCCCCACTATACAGCGCCCTACTAGCATTTTAGGCTAAGTAGGAAACCATCGTGCCAACTGCCTTTAAGTCAATTTTTACACCCCTTCATTTCAAAACTAAAAGGAGGAGGGGATTGCCGAGAAAAGCTAGAGTGGTGGGTTTGACTGCGTCAGCGCTGTCAACGTGGATTGTGCCTTCACGTCATTTGAGCACTGATTAGATTTGACAACAGTTTGCTTCCTTCTGTCCCTCTTCGAATGATCGTTACCCGCGTAGCATTATTGAAAGCGGTTCTTTCTACCACTGTTGAATACAAACTTACGCTCACCTAGAAGGAGAGTTATGTGCAAGGTGGATGGGTTCGCAGCTGCAGTAGCGGCCAGTTTACCCGCTCACACGTGCACGGGAACGGAGCTGGAGGGTGGTGATACCCAAGTGTCGTCTCCATACCTCGCACGCGCGCTATGTTCAAGATGCAGCCCTTGCGTTAATACCGAGTTCTTGCTGTGAAGCACGCACTCAACGGGGGAGAGAAATCAGTAGTGAGAGAGCGCGGACAAGTAGCGCGTCTGGCTATAGTTTAGCATGTGGTCGGCTGTGCGATCGCGCGAACGGAGTATGATGGCGGCATTCGGGTGGTGCTATCCTTTAGCCCGTTCCCGTGCACTCAGCCTAACATTGGTGCACATAAGGGCAGAACACAGAAAGTGGCAAGTTTCTGCAGTTGCGGACCCGTTCCCAACACATTGCAAGGGCCTGCAGGGGTGAATGTGCAGCTCGTCATTATCTCGTGGCTCAGTACCTATCGAATGCATTTTTGCAAGCACTTGTCATCATATATAGTTTTAGAGTGAGCTCAGCATGAAAATCATAATAACTTCTGCTCTTCTGATTGGTGTATGTTATTGCGTAGGAGATCAGTCGTATGCGGTCCGAGGAAAACTCATCTGTGGACCGAAACCTGCCACGAATGTCAGAATAAAACTTTGGGAAGAGGACACAGGTATCAAATTTTTTAACGATTTTGTCATGGTATTACTAGAAATGCTTGTTAGCATGTTGAGGTAAGAATAGGTTCAAAGGAGAGTCGTGATCCTCGATTTAGGGCCAGATCCAGATGACTTGCTCGAGGCGGGTTATACCGATTCCAACGGTGAATTCCGTCTCAGTGGTGGAACGTTCGAAATGACTCCTATTGATCCGGTATTCAAAGTCTATCACGACTGCGACGATGGAATAAAGGTACAGAGGATCACATTTAGGAAATTCTGAAGGTACATTTCGCGACAGTCGGATGGGCGGAGACTCAGTGTGCTTCACTGTAGATGGGACACTGGCCATTGTGGGCGCCATTGGAGCACACGTAATGGCCATGAATCCCCGCCTATCCGGCTATTGCGGAATGTCGCTTTAGTTCATTAGCACATGGTGATAGCATGACCGCACTGAGCTTCATTGTATTCAACAAGCGATATCACTCTCTTGCATGGGTATCCTCTCTGAAAGAAAAGTAATGCGTGGGTATACTCCCTGAAAGAGGAGTAATATTAATGATCACTGTATTCAGCCGGGCAAACGAAAGGTGAAATTCTATCTGCCAAAGTCGTACATCACTCAAGGAAAAACAGCT